CAATGGCGTGATAAGGCGCTATATCAAAGCAAGGATTACTAAGTTCAGTGACTGTATTTATAGGTGAAAACGGAAACTAATTTGCGCACAAACACCAAAGTCCCGCAAAAACACAAGTGAATGACTAATTTTATCTGGGAGATTGTTGGCCAGGACACCAGGAGAAACTCCCTTTACTTTTCTAGCAGTACCATTGAATTTTTAAAACCCACCTGAATTTTAAAGCCTGTCCCACTCTTCTGCTTGACCCCCTCCACTCAGCTAACTTGGGTTTGAGGTGTGGCCTTGCCCATGCTTTCACCTTCAACAATAACAAGTTGCATTTGTGTAACGCCTTTCACATCGGGAGGACTTCCCAAAGCACTGGGGCGACTACAACCCAAACCAGTGGAACTCCCTCCATCTTGCCTTCCCCCGACCCTCTCTACATGTCCGTAACTCCCACCTGAAAACCTGCCTCTCCTTCCCCCCTTCTCCATAAGAACATAATTTGTCTCCATTTCTCGTCCCCCTTCTCCTTTCTTTGGTTTCCAATCCTGGCTTTGTGAACTGCTCCGAGATGTTTTCCCACATATAGGGTGCAATATAAATGTAAATTGTTGACAGTACAGCGCTCCCCTGGCACTGGATCAAAATGTAGTTTCCTGCTGCTTTCTGAACAGAGATGAAGTGAATAATATTCCCAAACTTTCATGGAGCATACCATTTGCCTCGGGTATGTGGGTGTTCAATTATTGATTGAAATTCTGCCGTTTCATAACTGGTTCGATTTAATAATGATCACATCAGATCTGTTATCACATTTACATGTTTCTAGGCCAGGGCTTGCCATCAGATTGCTGCCTCAAAAATCTATCCTGACTAGCCCCAGCTTGTTTTTAAAATGCTGTGTGGAATTTTCATAGGGAATTGTAGATTACTTTCAGTTCATAATACTTGATATACGGGCAATAATATTGTTATAAGTTATCATTTCAGCCTGGCTCAGTTAATAGCACTATTGCCTCCTATTCAGAAGGTTGTGGGTTCAAATGTAACATCGAGACATTGAACTCAAGGAAAATTCCAGTGCGGTGCTGTGGGTTGTGCTGCATTGTTGAAGGAGGAGCCGTCCTTCGGATGTGACAATAAACCAAAGTTGGTGGCAGATGGAACTTTGGTTTGATCAGACCTTCCTCTTCGACTGTAACTACTAGTCATCATCCCTCTTTCCCTCATAAACCTTGTTATCAAGTTCTACCATTGTTACAGCACTCCAAGACGCTACCCACGTGAAGGGCACTATATAGATGCAAGATGTTGTTGTACAAATATGTAACGTCCTCCCTGCTTGGTGTCTAACACTTTCTCTGTAAAGCGCTTCGACACATAATCCAATGAGAAAGGCACAATGTAAATGCAAGTTGCATTATATTTATTGACACTAAACTAGTTGGGAGTGTTAGCTCTGAGGGTGATGCAAAAAGATTGCAACGGGATATAGATAGGCTAGGAAAGTGGGCGAGTAGGTGGCAGATGGAATTTAATGTGGGGAAGTTTGAAGTTATTCACCTAGGTAGTAAAAATAGAAAAACAGATTATTTTCTAGAGGGGGAGAGATTAGATAGTGTTAGTGCGCAGAGGGATTTGGGTGTCCTTGTACACCAGTCTCAAAAAGTTAGTTTGCAGGTGCAGCAGCAACGAAGAAGGTGAACGGCATGTTAGCATTCATTGCAAAAGGTTTAGAGTACAAGAGTGGGGAAGTCTTGCTGCAACTGTATAGGGCCTTGGTGAGACCGCACCGAGAGTATTGTGTGCAGTTTTGGTCTCCTTATTTAAAAAAGGACATACTTGCCCTAGAGGGGGTGCAGCGTAGATTCACTCGGTTAGTTCCTGGGATGAGGATAGGCTGAATAAACTATGGCTGTATTCTGTAGAGTACAGAAGAATTAGGGGGGATCTTATTGAAACTTATAAGATTCTTAAAGGGCTGATAAAGTAGACACTGAGGGACTATTTCCCCGGTAGGTGAATCTATAACCAGGGGTCACAGTCTTAAAATTAAGGGTCAGCCTTTTAGAACAGAGTTGAGGAAACATTTCTTCACTCAGAGGGTAGTGAATTTATAGAATTCACTCCCCCAGAAGGCTGTAGATGCTCAGTTCTTGAACATCTTCAAGGCTGAGACTGATAGATTTTTTAAAAATAGAGGGATTAGGGGATTTGGGGATAGGGCAGGTAATTAGAGTTAGGTCAGAAGATCAGCCATGATCTTATCGAATGGCGGGGCACAGGCTCGAGGGGCCGAAAGGCCTACTCCTGCTCCTAATTCTTATGTTCTTATTATGTTTGAATTATGCACTTCCTTGAAATGGACGGGAATGGAGAGCGGAAGGAGTGGACTAGTGTCGTGCTGCATAATGCTGACCATTTCTTCTATTTTAGCCAGAATGATTTTCCGTTGCCTCCCTCCGCATGTGGTGCTGGATAGCCTTAAAATAATCTATAGTGTTATTTACAAAAAGGTCATCGCTTTAAAGAGCGATATTCCGATCCACTCTGTGCAGCAAAATCTCCCGTCTCGGAGATTCTAGGTGCTGGAACCAAAGGGGAAAAAAATTATAATTAATGTTTATAGCTCCCAGAAAATAATGGATAGGTGATGGGGAGACAGCCAAGGTTAAAGCAGAAGGCTTGAGTAACTAATTATGCTGAATAATCTCTGTATTATCACATTGTTACAATAACAGCATCGAAGAAATATTTTGACATTGGATTGATTTTTTTGCCAGCTTGTGCTCTGGCCTCTAGATATGTTTGTATGGCTTTGCATCCAGCAGCAGACTGACGTTTCTGACTTGTTGTCTGGCTTTGTTCCCTCCCTCCCATACCACCGTCCTTTCCAACCCGTAGCATAGTGGTTAGTGCGCTCTCTCACAAGTGAGAGGAGCCGGGTTCGTTTTCCGAGTGGGCTGAAATCTTAGGCAAGTTTCCTTATCCATACGCCTTTGTTTACCAAGCAGTCAGTAGGGAACCCAGTTATTAGTCAACTGGCGGATTTCTACCCGGGGTTGATAATCCCTCAAATAAAAATTTGGTCCCTCAATCCACAACTGTTTGCGGGACGCTGCTGTGTGCGATTGGCTGCTGTGTTTCACCCACAAAAGTCAATCCACTTTACAGTATATTCTGTGAAGCGCTTTGAGACATCTCAAAGACGTGATAAGGCGCTGTGTCAAATCCAAATATTATTTATTCTTACTCTTACTTCCTCAGCCTATTTGTTTACTTAAAGCCGCATCCCTGGATGCAGGGATATGGATACAGGATGCGGTGTCCTGTAGCTCAGTGGTTAGAGAACTCGTCTCGCAAGCGAGAGACCTGGATTCGATTCCTGGCAGGGCAAAACCTTGGGCAACTTTCCTTACTCCACACGCCTGATCCCTCAAGAAAAAAAATAATAATAAATTGATCACTTCAATCCACAACTGTTTGTGAGACACTGCTGTGTGCAATTGTCAGCCACAAATATACAGTCAATTCACTTTACAGTATATTCTGTGAAGCGTTTTGAAACATCTGCCAAATGTGAAAAGCGCTTTATCAAATGCAACAATTATTATTTTTTTTATCCCTGTGTTACTCGAGGGTTTGTTCAAAGCAGTACTTAGTCCAGATGGTTCCTTAATAAACAATTTCTGATGGATTTAGCCTCTGAGGTGCTTGCACTTATGGCATGAGCACGCGAGTCTTTGATTTTATATTTTCTGGACAAAACAAGTGACTCCTTTTGTATGAAATAATATTGAAATGTCAATTTAAATATGAGGAGTTCTCACACAGTTAGCCTCTCTCTATCTTTATTTAACCAGACCCTTAAGTCACGACCCTCTCTCCGCTTGTTATGTGGACAGATAATTGTCCAGCGCAGATTGATGCTGCAAGCCTTGGCCTTAATTCACCCTATCCTTATCTGTAAACAATAGCTTTCCGATAAATGCCAGTCCTGGCTGCTGCAGCCCTCTCCCGAGACCGTTGTGTTCCAATGCACTTTGCTGACCACGGCAGAAGGATCACTACATTCTCAGAGTCTGTCGCCAGTGACCCAAATATGCTTTCTGTTTGTGCCATTGACACAATGTCAGTCATATCGCGCATCCAATTTCACCATAACAACATCGCCAAAAAGCAGCCACGGCCGATTTGCAGCTTTGCATTTAACAGGTTTCAAATAATTCTGAAATGACAATGTCCTTAATCTAGAATTTGGCTCTGTGCTTCGAGCTACATTGTGCAAACTGAATTGTTGGGAGTCTGAATTCATCTCTATGCTTTATTATTTTTTAAAAATCTATTGATAAAAGCAATGTTTACTGTTTCTTTTAGCTACTATCTAAGTTGGTATTGTATTATATAGTATCTAATATTACAAATTAGAGCACTCACCTCGCAAGGTTTGATTCCTAGGCAGGGCAAAATGTTGGGCAAATTTCCTTACACCTCTGTTTACCTAGCAGTAAGTAGGAATCCAGTTGTTAGTCGATTGGTGGATCGGTTTTCTGGGGGTAATAATCCCTTCAAAACATGTATAATAATTTGGTCACTCAATCCACGACTGTTTGTGGGACGCTGCTGTGTGCAATTGTCTGCCACGTTTCGCCGATAAAATATTCACTTTACACTTTGAAGAACTTTGAGACATCTAGAAGATGTGGTAAGGCACTAAATGAGAGATATTAGTATTATAAGTACTATCGTATTATCTAGTAACTAATATTGTAAGGCACAAGATCTGTAGAGTGAATAGCGCTGCTGAAATCTGTGACAATAGCCCTTAATATGCATTTATTCTCTCTCTCTACTAATAATGAAAGAAAGATTGAAATAAGTGGGTTCTTACCCTCCGTACTATATACACTAGGAAGGTCTTGAGACGGACCTTGAAGATGGGTCGGACTGTGCTTCCTGTTCTTTTTTCAAACACTTAGTGTAATTGTTGACTTGTTTGCTTGTACTTTCAGGCAAGGCATTGACGTACCTGCTGTTACAGGCGCCTGCCCCGAAGCTTCCAGCACACAGCACCATCCGCAGAACGGCCATCGATTTGATTGGCCGCGGCTTCACCGTGTGGGAGCCCTACATGGACGTGTCGGCTGTGCTGATGGGACTGCTGGAACTTTGTGCCGATGGGGAGAAACATCTCCCTAAGTAAGTAGAGTACTACCCCACTCCACTACTCGTCATCACCACCGGCTCCGGCTTCCTGCTTGTTCCTTGTGCCCTCCATTTCACCATCGACAGATGCGCTTTCAGCCACTACGCCACAAAACTCTGGAACTCTCTCTCCCTCAGTCCCTCCACCTTGTCCTCTCCTTCCCCATCTTAGTCGCGCCAAGACAACAGCAACAACAAGTTACATTTGTACAGCGCCTTTCACATCAGGAGGATGTCCCAAGGCGCTGCACAGCCAGGGATCGACACTCGAGCTGAGGGTTGGGATACCTTCCTCTTTGACCGTGCTTAAGGTAGATCCCGTACCCCCTCTTTGGCTCGGTGTCAGGCTCCACCACTGTCAAGTGCTCTGAGATGCTACCCTGCATGAGGGGTACTATATAAATGTAAGTTGTTGTTGTTTTTAGGGAATGTACGACATGCCGGCCAGAGCAGTTTTGGAAAAGAAACGTCTTTACTGGAATGATTTTTATTTGTTCACTACATACTTGTTTTGTAAAAACAAAATCTGTTCTACGCTCTTGTGACATCTTATCCCTTGGGTTACAAGAATTCCAATCAGAAAGAACCCTGTCCTGTGCTGAGAGAAATTGAATACAGTTGCAGGTCACCAACTTAAAACACTTGGAGACATTGATGCTACGTGATGGCTGCTATATAAATTCAAGGTGGTGGTATAGCGGTGTGTGTGAGGGAGGAGGGGCGCGGGAGGAGGAGAGTTCGCAAGAAATTGAATGATTGAACCTAAGCTCTGGTACTATGTTATGTGGGACATCCTCCTGACCTGAAAGGCGCTCTATAAATGGAATCTTGTTGTTGTTGTGGTGGTGCTTGCCCTGTACTGGAGGCTTTGCTTTGCAGTTAAGGACTCGTTATGCTTCCAAGCTTCATTCACGAATGCCCTTCCAAAGGGAGATTTAAGCAGAATCCATAATAGCTTTTAACTGGGAATGATGCCAGAATGGCTGGGAGTAATGTAACTTCATGGCTGTTTCATGGGACATTACTGTGCGCAAGTTAACTTCTGCTTTTGCCTGCAAATTATAGTCCCCATGTTTTATAGTGTATCCTGTAACCCTCTTTGAGACGTCCTCCCAATATGAAAGACACTATATGAAATGTAAGGATTATTATCAATTATGAATGGATCCAGTCTGATCTGAACTGATAATTTTTTGATCCCACATCAAGCCCCTGACTGATTTAGCTCTCCTATCGGCCTCTAAGAAAATAAGTAACAACAGCAACTTGCAATTATATAAGGCCCTTCACGCGAGGTAGCATCTCGGAGCGCTTAACAGTGATAGAGCCTAACGCCGAGCGAGCAGGAGAGGGGGGAAGGAGGTGACCAAAAGCACGGTCAAAGAGGAAGGTCTTCAGTCCATGATCTAAAAGAGGGGAAGGAGGGGACGAGGAAGAGGGATTGAGGGAGAGAGTTCCAAAGCTTCGGGGTATAGGAGCTGAAATCACGGCCGCCGCTGGTAGAGCAGAGGGGCAACAGACAAACAGGAGGCCATAGCCAGGCGAGTGTCTGCCTATTTACTGTTCAACAGTGAAGTAACAAGACAAGAAAGTATGTTAAAAAGAGTTAGGTTAGTAATGGTCGTCAACACCAGGAAAGCTCCCTCCACTAACAACACTCTGAAATCCCCAATTGCAGAAGAGCTTCTCTACACTCTCCACTTAACACAGCACTTAGCCACCTGGTGGGTCCTCTGAGCCAGATTAAGGGCAATTTTTGCAACTGACCAACAACTGGCTTGAAAATATTGACGTCTCAATGACCTGATAAGGTGCTATATCAAATACAAGGAGTATTATTATTATTATTGATTCTTTTAAGAAGCAAAGCTAATATCCACTTTTGATACGTATTCCTGGCCTCAAGTTCGTATATAAAAAAAACTTATCACGTCGTCAAGATGTCTCAAAGTGCTTCACAGCTTAAATGATATTTATTATAATGATAATCCTTGTATTTTATAAGTGTCTCGATTGACTTGACTGTGTATTTTTATGGGTGAAACGCGGCAGCCAATTGCACAAAGCAGTGTCCCACAAAGAGTCGTGGAGTGACTGACCACATTTTGTTTTATAAAACGATGTAACCATGTGCATTTTCTGGGAGACTCTCCCCCAAAAGGGAATTACACAGAACAAAAAGAAAAAGAGGAATGTGAGAGAGTGATGGGAGCGAGCAGGAGTGTGAGATTACTCTCAGTAGCTCAAGTGGAGAAAAACACAGGCATTGACTCGATGGGCTCAATGAATGATCTGTAATATTCCAGGAAAACCTGAAGCAGTTTTCTTCCCAGGCAGCGGGAGAGAGGATGGTGAAGTGTTGCTGTCAGTTGTGGGGGAGGGGAAAGGGTCTGAAAGCGAGAGAGAAAGAGAGAGGGAGCAAGAGGGGAGAGAAGAGGAGGTGAGACAGAGTGCTGAAAGGTCATGTTTCTTCAGTGTGTACCCAGGAGGCAGAGAGCAAGCGAATGGCAAAATTGGATGGAAAAGCAGGGAATTTTCTTAAACCCCCCAAATAAATGAAGCAACATTTTTAAAACGCAGAACAACATTGCAGGAGGAGCATTATTTGCACAGCACAGAATGATCGAGGTTGTCGGGCTGCTCGAAACCTTCCGTTTCAACTTCATTTAAATTACCAGCAGCTCCCCTCCCGCCTGACATAGGGGAGGAGATTTTTGTTTGAATGAAAAGGTCAGCGAAAATTAACCGTATTGTGTTATACAGAGTCACCAGTAGCTGGCAGTGCTTTACACGTGGCAAGCAGTCTGATAGTATAATTTATCTTCAGACATTGTGTCACTCCCAGTCGGGTTTTCAGTTTGCCTGTGTCTCCCGCCTGCATTTCTTCATTTCTCACTCCCATCTCATATGCGGACATTATGTAACCTGACTTACGTACAGTGAACGCAAGCCCCCACTCCTCCTATTCCTCTCTCCTGCACCCCTCAATTCACTTGACTCAATTCACAGTCTAATAATAATAATCCTTGCATTTGATATAGCGCATTGTCACGTCTTCGAGACATCTCAAAGCGCATCACAGAATACACAAATATTCGCTCACAAAATATAGTTCATTCACGTTACAGTATATTCTGTGAGGTGCTTTGATAGTCTCGAAGATCTGATAAAGCGCTATATCAAACACAAGGATTATTATTATTATTCCCGTTGATCTCATTTATGGGCCTAAATTAAATTAAAATCAGAACAGTGCTGTGAGGGGAGAAACACTGCAAGGTTGGTTTGGCCTCTCGCCACCCTGACTAACAAAACCTGCAGATAAATTAATCCTTCACGTCACAGCCATTTCTGAGAACAGCTATGTTCAAATTGGTTGTCGGGTTTGCCCACAAAAGACAGTCACTACACTTACAGCAATTACTTGTGACGAGCTTTGAGACCTTTTGACGTTACAGGCACTATCAAATGAATCATGAAATTACCAAACAGCATTTTATATCAAATCAAACACCCATTTCAGATCCCTGCTCGTGAAAATGTTTAAGAGAGAAGCAGTAAAGCTACCCGTCACCAAAGGGTGTTATTGAAGCCTAAGTTTGCTCTTGTTTTGTGGGGAGATATTTCTAAACACCTCTGTTGCTCATGGACAGAGACACAACAAAAGGCTTAAATGCTTACCACAATTCCCTGTCTAACAATTCCTAGAATTTGCAACACAGAAGATAACAATAAGCCTTCCATTTGACACAGAGCCTTATCATGTCGTTGAGACATCTCAAAGCACTTTATAGGATACACCGTAAAGTGGATATGCTGTAAAGTGTGTTTGGTGTTTGGTGGGTGAGCCATCATGCCTGTACAATGCTCGCTCCCCATGATATAACCACGGCCAAGACACCTTCTTTCTTTCTTTCTTTCTTTCTTTCTTCTTCTGCTACTCTCTTGTGCCTTGACGATGTAAGAAAGAAGTTGTACCCGATCCCATCGCAACATCTCAAAGCATTTTACATTAACTGCTGTCGTGGCCTCGGCCCTCCATCTTAGGGTCTAAGTCGTAAAACAAATTCCAACAGCAAATTGTTTGAACCTCTGTGACGATATTACGTGGCATTGCATAGAATGATATGGCATGGAAACAAGCCATTCAGCCCAACTATTCTGTGGTATTTATGCTCCACAAGAGATCCATCCCCCATCCTATTGCTCTCTTTTATACACCTTGCAAGCGTCATCCTCTTCACAAACATTCTCAGTTATAAAAATTGTGTTGCTTTTAGAATGGTATTGAATATCTCTTAGTCCACTTGGGTAATCTTAAGTAAATTGTTTGATTTTAACAAATCTTCAGAGTAAGGCTTGTAAGGCTTTGCTTCGAACAGGACTCTACCCTGTGTGATCGGCGCTATATTTTAGAAACATTGCAATATGGCGAGTTTATTTGGTATTTCGCCCACATAGCATACAGTCACTAAACTTTACAGCAAATCCTGTGAAGCGCTTTGAGACGTCCTCCTGACATGCCAAATGCAAGGATTGCCATCATTTATTTTATCTTTATGTTGCTTTGTCTTTAAATGAAGTTGATCTAATCACACCCGAACATGGGGGGGGTGGGGAGGGGAGAGGAGCGGGCAAGTGAACTGTCATTTTTTTTTAAAAAACGTGGTGAAAAATGAAGGCGAAAAAAGCATTCTTCAGGGATGAATGCAATCATCCTTTTACCGTAACGCAATTTATCCGGGGGATTTATGATTTTTTCTTTTTGCCATTTGGAAAAACACGTGCTGGTAAATTGTGCAGGGATATTATCATAAACTGGCCTTTTTGTCAGGGTATTAATATTGCCAGTTTGTAATATCCCCGATTGACATTTTTACTCCGGCATTGCAGAAACTGAGGAACAAATGTCATCTACCAGTAATCATTATCTAGTCAGCAACCTAGGGGGAGAGTGTGCGCTCCCAATTGCTGAGTGATTGCATCACTCAATG